CTTCATTATTTACTAGTTGAAAGATATATTAGAATATCATTATTATCTATAACCTTTAATTAAATATCAATTATTTAAATCAATTCAAATATATAGATATAAGAAAACTTTTTAATATAATATATATTTAATTAAATATCTATAATAATTTTATAATTTAATATATATTCTTTTCAGAATCATAATAGACAAGAAGAGCGATTCTTTGAATCATATCATATATTTACATTTAAAAATAGATCTCTATAAATATATAAATAAATTGCCCCCATATACATAATCCATATATTCATAGAAATTTCATTTAATTAAATATAATAAGAAAAATTTAAATAATAATCAAATTATATATTAAAGCAATATATCAATGCACAAGAATAGAAATACGACGAGATTTATAAATATATTATTTAAGACCCAATGGCAAGAACGATAATAATGTTACCAAGGGTCGGGGAACAAAGGAGAGAATAAAATTATCGGGTTCTTGTTCAGAAATCTTTTTTTTAATATAAAAAAAATCTTTCATCATATATCAAATAAGAATTAAATTCCAATTTCGGCTTAAAAAAATGACATATATATAATAAAAGATAATATAATAAAAGATAGATCGAGAAAAATCAAAGATTAGAATCATGAAATATCAATTCATAATTTCATCATCAAAATTAATATTATCAAGAATCTTTCGGATCTATATCAATTCAGAATCGAGTCTATATTTAAATAGAAGAAGATATATTCATTTAAATATTCAAAATATTTACAAATATTGAAAATATAGGTTTTATATATTCTCTTATTTTATCTTGAATATATTCAGATTAGTCTATTAGATGCTTATGACTATCTTGTCTCATACGATATTTCTTTCTAATTTTCCTTTTAATTTACAAGTATCATATTTTTAATTTTAGAAGAATTTCAGAACGAATTTAATAATGACATCTAGAGCGCGAAGGCGCGAGGGGTGCGCGAGGCCGTAAGGTGAGGCGTTACGAGGTGAGGGCGCGAGGCCGCGAGGTGAGAACGCGAAGTGCGCGAGGTCGCACGGCCGCGAGATGAGAACGCGAAGTGCGCAAATTGTTCGCACCTCGTTGGATCTGCTGAGCATGTGTCAAAGGGGCCCGGAAAAGTGGGCGTCCTGATGCATCCCTAAAAGGAGTGAATTGCTTGGTGACGGCCGCCGTGAAACCTACGATCGTAGATCGTGCAGTGTGCATGGCGTACTTGTGGTCCCTCCTAAAGTGAACCACTCCATAAATCACGCACTGCTGCTGAGCTTCTTCCCCGCCTCCAGCCTTGAGAAAATGCGTTCCTGGTATGCTGGCGTAGCCCTGACTAATCACCGGACACGGCCACTTCGCAGAATTAGTCACGCGATCTAAGTTCTGAGTGAACGATGCGTCGTCATTCCACGGAGTGGCCTGAGAATAGTGGCCCACGCAGCCTGAGGTCCATCCGCTATGGTAGCCGGAGCTATGAAGCGGGAATGGATCATACCTTCAATTCCTGTCGTGTCTGTTCCATGAGCAAAGTAATGCAGATTGCGTTGTTCAGCAGAAAGGTCCTGATGTGGAACAAAAGGCTCGCGCAGCTCGAACGACCAGTAAACATGAGCTTTGGACTCAAAGCACTTGACTCGATCGAACATCTGAGTGGCATCTCCTGTAAACTGGCACATCACTGTTGCGAGATATTGAAGCTCAAACGGCGCAGGGAGTTGAACTCCCTTAACTTCGCACAGATCTTTTAAAGCAAGCAAATTGCGATCGATTGCTTGCTGAGGTGCCACCTTCAGGATATCTCGACACTGCCTGCTTTTGAGTTCCATCGAACCAGGGGTGCGCACAAAAAAACGGACGCGACCAGCACGACATCGTTCTATTAGAGAATTTATCCTTCGCGTCATTTATCGTCTTCATGGTTCATTAAGAATTCATGGATTCAATAATGATCTCATACTTAATATAAAACAATTTGATACAGAAACCATGAGATATACATATAACTATAAATCTAAACATAAATAAATAGATGTACATGTCTATATATATATATACACTTAATTCGAAAGAATATAGACATTGATATCATTTTTTGTTGATATTCTCTGTGGAAGCTTGACCATAGAATGATTGCGGTATTATGAATTGAAGAGTCATCCTTGGCGCCTCTGTCCGGGTTCCACTGAAGAGAGCAGCTCTCTGCCGATTTGATGTTTGTAAGTGAGCGTTGCTCCCGATCGGCCGGCCACACTGTCAAACTTCAAGGTTCCCGGAGCTTTATGTTTACTAGGCACAAAATATAAACAGTTTTGCAGCCATCCTCAAGTACCCACGGACAGCAAGTGCCATGACGAAGAAAAGTACGTCGTGGAGCCGTGCACAAACAGATTTTGATAAATTTTGCATCGGGAGCAGCAGATGGGTCCACAGCTCTTTGGTGGAATCGAGGCACCCGGCCTTTGCATGTCATGTGTCTGAGGCGAGGAAGACGACTCCACACAAGTTTGTCGCAATGTTCTTCGTGCACGACCACGGAAAGATGCGGAAAGCTTGTCGCAAAGGAATTGCCTTAAGCGTCTTCTGCGTCGTGACCGCGGCCAAGTCTGGCCTGCACAGTTTCTGCGCGACAGGACCTCTGCAAGCGGTCAAAAAACCCAATCCAGCCTCCAGTTGTGGTCTTATGGCAGCGTCATCTGGGCGGGTCAGCGTGTCGTACATGACCTCGATTATGTTTGAGAATCATGATCGAGCAGTCTCCTGATAGGATCAGGATGCAGGCTCCATAGAGTGCGACCGTCGTCTCGTCAGCGGCCCTGGTGCACAGACTTGGTAGACTTTAACATTTGCGGCTTTGGAAGCGCGCCTCTTCACTCCCGCGTCCGCCTTCGGCCCTCGCGTGTAATCCTTCAGAACATCGACGGAACACATGATTGTAAGCCAGGCCGGAATCAGCCTGAACTGCTCGCATCATCTCTTTGAGTCCCTTCTCGCTGGGTTCAAAGCCGAACCTACAGAGCAGTGGCACCGACGGGCATCTGGGAGAAAATGCCATGCTTGAGTACGTTGCTTCTCCAAGACGGGCTTCTGCAAAGGCAGTGCCTAAGTTGGCCAAACCGGATGCCTGTGATCAAAGTGTCTCGCAGCTCTGAGGCCGCAAGTCGAGAGATGTACGTAAGTCCGATGCCACTTTGGCGAGATTCGCGAGGAAGGGGCGCTGGCAACAGGGAGGAAAGCTCTTGGGAAACCCACCCGTCTCAGAAAGCCGCTCAGTAGCCTACTATTCAAACCATGCTGAAACAACAGTCACATCCAGTCAGCATACTAAGTCGATGCCGTGGGGCACGACAGGGCCCCTGACAAGCACCCTTGACACCCATCTGCAACTAACATGGTGCTGCTGCTTCTCTCTCAGCAAACTGCACTTCTCGGCTACGACGGCAAGGCACAGCGACCGACCCAAGACAGTGTCTGGACGAAACTTGGTCAACCCTCCGAGGCCGTTTCCGGGGGTTGTCTTGGTCGACGGAACTATAACATCAAGCAATCTAGCGATGGAAGCAGGCGACATTCTTGATTTGAGGTCTCCCTCTAAGCATAGCCTGTCCAAAAAATCACATGCAGGAGAACGATGCCTCCGAACTCAGCTCGGCCACGAAAGGTCCCGCCCGGGTGTTGACAACGGCAACATCCAAGGATTAGGCAGCAAGATTGGCAAGGCAAGAAGCCCGCAGCTGTCCCACACACTCGCAACACTCTGAATCCTTGGGCGGGCTGTGGCTGGATGCCCACATCGGAAACGAACTCTCCACAGGCACGATGGCCTTTTCGCCTCGAACATCGCGTGCAAGCTTCATGACCTCATGAACTCGGTCTTTCATACCACTCTGCAGAAAGCAGATTTGGAAGCTAGCCTGCTTCTGAAATGTGGAGTCTCTGTATGCATCGCGCAAAGCGTGTAGCAAATCCTGCAGGACATTCAAGCTCCGAATGCATGTAATGCTCCGACAGACCGCGTCTTGCTCAAATCATCACCCAGCACCCATGCGGGCTGTCCACTAGCCAACTCTGAACTCTTCACCGCAAAGCCAACACGAGGGCACGAGGGGACCAGTCACCACCACTTGCCTTTTTGCTGTAGGCTCTGTTGCTGTTGTGTTCATCCATCTTTGAATGTGCGCTTCCATCTTGTCGAGAATGCTTGCACCCCTGCAACTGTGCTGTTTGTCTCGGGCATCAATCTGCCACCAAATGCCGACACTACAACTGGTTTAATCCACACGGAAGCATTCAAGTGATTTGCAGGACTACTGACTACTGCACAAAAAAACTCAGACCGGAAAATTGGCCATCACACTTGCTGTGGCTTGCAATTGCGGGCAAGAAGGCTGAACCGAAGCCAAATGGGTAGTTCTCTAAATTAGGGTCCCTTCTAGAATAGTGTCGTACTATTTTGGGGGGTCTACACAGGGACCCTAATTATCTAATTTAGAGAACTGCCCAAATGGCAATCATGTGGTTTCGATACCCCACAATCAATTTAGTCCCAATAGTCATGTTCCCACGAGCTGCAGCGTTGCTACCCAAAGGGAAGCACAGCAGGCAAGGGTTCTGCCAAACACGAAAGCAATGACAAGAACGAAAGCCGCACACACAAAAGCTGTACCAGTCTGATTCTAGCACTGCTTCTCTCCACTACCAAAGCCGGAACTGTTGATGTGACCACAAGTTTCCGGTAGTACATGGGTGCTACTGCAATTGATCATTTATCTCGTGTGCTGTGTGCAATGGTTTGCAGGACTGCTACACGAGGAAGAGCAAACCGGCATACAAAGACAGAGGTGCAACCATGAGTCCGTAGACTCAGAATTTTGTTTACATTTACTTGCAATAGTAGATAGCAGCCGTCGAAAGGCTGCTACACAATAGCCGAAGTGATCTGTCGAGAACAGGACGAACCGAGACATACATGCTCGTGCAAGCCGTGCTGCCTCGCGCACAGCGCTGGTATTTGGGCCTTTTTTTCTTCAATAAAACAAAACCCTTCGCAAAGGCTCTCTGCAGAACCCTATGAAGATTTCTGGGTCTACAACATGTGCAGGAAGGATTGATCAGATTAGAGCCAGATAAAGCTAACTACATTAGGCCGTGGGCCCGCATGTGCGGATGCGACTGGTTACACGCATGGAAACTGCTTGAACTACGTTTTTGCTGGAACTATGGCACAGCACCTGCTCGTTGTTTATTTACAAGAGGGTGGGACAATCAAATCTGCTTGCCTTACTTGCTTTCTTTCACAAGGCAAGGTGTACTTTTCTAAACGTCCGTGTTTCAACCCTCTGCAACAACTACGGTCCTTTGCACCTTCTCGCGTCAGGTGTTTACGGTTGGAATCCTCAGCGCAGGGCAGTGCAACCAGTCCAAAATCGATGTACTGATGCGCCGGCCTGAAAGATTCCATTAGGTGTGGGCAAAGCTCTCCGCTGCCTGACATGGCGCCCCCCAGCATTATCAGACCCATTATGACGGCTCGTTGGTCCACGGCAAATCAAAGCTATTGCATCTCAGTGACTCGTCTGGCTCAAGCGAATCGAGTGCAGCTTCCTTCTCATCATCGACCTGGTAAATGAATGTAATCTGCACTGCAAGTACCTACCACACCCACGTCACACATCAACCCATTGCACCTGACGTTCTTCACTGAACACGCTCCTGGATGGGCTGAGTACTGTGACCATTCCACAACAATGGATGCCATCCAACATGAGTGCTGCAACACTTACAAATCTTCGCATCAAGCAGTCTACCAACAAATCTGCAAAACTGCGCTGTATTGTGGCCTGCCGAGTGCCTTCTCCATTGTTCGCTTGAGAGATGCCTGTTCCTGGTTGGATACCCGAGAAGATGCTGTCTATTCTTTGTTATTGGAACCGATTGTAAGGCAGATGCCCGCTCGCGGAGGGCCTGCAGCTTCTCACGCTTGGCCTCGTTGCACAGCACAGCAAACACACCCCAGCGTCTCCGGGCAGCGGGCAACGGGCCTGGGTGTCTTTTGCGATTCGAAGACGATCCGGCCGTCCAACCGAACATTCGTCGATTTTTTGCAAGCATCTTTCGGCCTGCTTGATGCTCGCATCTGCTTGTGTCTTGCCTACCTCTCGTGCCAAACGTCACTTGCCGGATATGCCCAGTCCTCATCCAGGCTTCCCATGCCTTCTAGGGCACATGCTCGTCGAAACCATGCCTGGATACCATGCATTTTCGATAAGCCATACAAATTTAGCTGATTGAGCCTTCTTTGCATTTGAACCAGATTTCGCGAGCGATGTTGCATCATTAAACGCCAGCTTTATGCCTTGTGATCTTCTGGGCACAGCTGCGTCGCAAGCGTCGACACCTGGTGATGAGTTTGGCACGTCGCGCACGTTGCACAATTGCAAAACAGCGTATTGGCCTTCGTCGCTTCGTTCCAGTACCCAAGCTTCATGCTTGCCTTTCAAACACAGTCTGCGGCTGAGGTGGTGCGATCACGCTTCCAAGGATGTAATCACCAATCCAACATTGCAGCCTTGCCTGTGCCAGGTTCTTCAGTACGGCTGCGTGAAGTTCAAACAACAGCTCGTTGGTCTCGTTATCTGCGGCCTGTGCACTTGCGAGAAGTAAAAGCATGTTCTTCGTAGCATGACCTGGCCTTGAAAGGACGGAGGGTTTCATGAGCTTGCCTGGCAGTGAGAAGATTGCACAATGAAGCCGCAGCAAGCTACCAGTATCGTGGCCGTAAGGGGGAACGAGAACGACCAAACTTGGTGGAGGAGGCTGTCCCTGGTTTGACCAGTGTAAATGTGTGTGTAAACACTTCGATGTTTCGAACAACTTTTCGTGTGCCGGACAATTTGCTGGGTCATTTTGATTGCAGGGGGCAAGGGCTTCACTGACAAGCCTTGCCCAACGAAGCCAAGTCACCGGAGTGGATGCAGTGGCTAATCACCACAATGTACCTGCTTCCTTGGTGGCTGCGCCGAAATCGCACCATGCCAGTGCGGTCGGCATGGCTTGCGTTGGGTGGCGCGATGGGGGCACAACCACCTGGTGATGAAAGGAAATTTCAATAAGATGATCATGCCTTGCTCTCCTGCCCCAAAGCACATCCGCAGGCAAGGGTTTGGAAATGGACACCGCAACCCAGTTCCAAACGAAATCGAAGAAAGAGCTCAGCTGACACGAGTTCGTCACCAAGTTTTTGCTTGTACTTACGAAATCGAACGTGATCGCGGGCCGGCAACCGTGCGTGGAGCTCTTCATTATTCAAGCAATGCACAACGAGTATGCGCGCTCGCGAGGCTACCTGGACTTTGCTCACGTAACTGGGCGGGAACGCCCTGCAACGCGGGGAGTTTCACTACGCCGCTTTGTGCAGTTGGCACGGTCTTGCCAAACACTTACCAGCCTACTGGCCCCTGCCAAGGTCATTGCTAGCGCCCCGGAGTTCAAAAGATTCGGGACCCCCAAATTCTACAGTACAAACCGCTCCTGTCTTCTTTCCTGGCCTACCGGCAGGACCTACGTTCCTGCATGCGTGCCTACGTCACGCAATGCATAAAAACCGTGAAACTTTTACACGTGCCTAAACCCGGTGTCTTGTTTCCACACCACCAAGGTGTGGCCCAGAAACTGTTCAACCGCAAAGATGCCTTACTTAGAGCATTGGGCGGCCAGGCAAGTGCGAGCTTCTTCGGAACGCGGCACCTGAAGCCCCAGTCTTCGAAGGTCACATTCGGGATCACGTTTCAGCCACGGCATGGCCTTCACAGCGTCGTCCTTGTCCACATTGGAAAGGACATCAACCGCTCCATGGCCAACACTTTCTTTCCAGACAAGAAAGACCTCTACAGCGCCAACAGTTTGTGGAGGCATGGTCTAAATGGTGCAAAGCCAATGACATGCCTGGCCCGCCCCTAAAATTGCCCCTGCGACTCCAGCAGGCATTTGACCCTTTTTTTGCCACAGCACAACCTTGAAGTACAAGGGTGCCAAAGCCATGTGGTCTACAGCTACAAGTGCAAATTCTAAAGGAGCCATCTGGCACTGCGCACCACCACCCCCGCACCGCAGGGTGCTACTGCCCCGTGATGTATCACAGTATGCAAGAACAAGGCCGTGTTCCCAGAGGTCACCACTGATTTCGAAATTGATCTAGGCCGCCAAGTGCCCGACGTTTCGGCGTACTCCGCGTATGCCGTCCGCTTACGTGCTGCCCAAGCGCAAGAAAGACTTTGGGGCCAGCCGAGCCATTGTGCCGGTTGCCGATGCTTTCGTGCGACCACTGCTCGAAACCACCGCCCGACTGTTACACCGGACTTGCAGCATCTCCTTTCCTTGGCTTTCGACAAAGGATATTTCCGCCAAACACATGGCTCATCATGGCTCGCCCATGGATCCGCCACTTTCGCCCGCTCTGTGTGGCATGGTGGTCGCAGCCCATCGCAGAATGTTTCGGCAAATCTGCTCACCATGAACCGCCCTTCTTTGTCCGCGTTATGTGATGAACAGGCTTTGGATTTCGGAACAACGTTGCGCCCGACTTCCTGGAGCCCGACGCTTCCCCGGCAACCATTTCTGTCCATTTCCATGGTAGCCACTTTGCTCCAGAGGATGAGCCTGCCTTTGACTTCGTCGGGTTTCCCTGGGTTTGCAAAACAAACGCACTGCCCACAACCATTCTGGCCAAGCGAGGCCTGCCCAACATCCCTTCTGCGTGACCTGAGCCGGTACTCTTGAGCGGCATCCTGGCCAGAGCCCACACCACCAAGATTGAGTTACGTTATTCGTGGGAGCACGCCATAAAAAGAGCGAAGACTCCCTGCACACAACCATAGATTTCATGCCAAGATTTGGAGAACCACTTGAATCAGTTGTCTGCTTTTGTCTGCCATAGCCGTATCGCGGTCGCAATTTGGCGGCGACGATGCCACAGGGCAGGCAGGGACCACCAGCCCACGTGGATTACACCCATCGAGAATGCACAAAGACAGCCGCCACATGCAATACAAATGTTGCTGTTGCTCGTAACGTGCCACACAGCACGGCATTCTCCAGGGGGGCGAGCGCACCGGAGAATTCCTGCATAGCAGGCCCAGCAAAGGCCGAGCGTGCTGTGGTAACGGTATTCTCCTTGCAGGCCCAGCAGGGGCCGATCGCCCTGTGGTACTCTTGACGGGTTCTCCTAGCAGGCCAGCAGGGGGCTAGCGTGCTGTGGTATTCCAAAATAGCAGACCCAGCAAAGGCCGAGCGCGCTGTGGTACTCTTGACGGTACCTGCATCTGACTGCCTTTCGCTTGAAGTGATAGGAGGCTCAAACACACCGCAACTGCCATATGGATGCACCTGGCTCTGCCGCGCCAGCTACTCAACATGATGCAGCTCAAGAGCAGCGAGACAGGATATCCAGTGCTTGGTTGAAGCTCTTGCAAATCACTATGCCGCGCTGCAGCTGTGAAGCCTGGGTGAGTTCAACTACCCCAAGTGATCAAGCCCTCAAGGAATATCTCGCTGAGTCTAAAGAGCTTAAGACTCAAAAGATCGTGGAGCTTCAGAACAAGCTGCAGAGGTTGGAGGCGCTGCTCCAAACGTGCGAGGTGCTGTTTGCTCTGCCAAAACTCATGCGTCATAGGCCTTCGAGGAAGTCCTGGTGACTGTTCTGGGCATGCGAGGACCGACTGCTCGGCAAGACTCTCGTTAAAGCACTTCTTACCTCTCACGGTGCTGGGATCGTCGTCCTTGACGTGGCCGTGGAGCAGGCAATTCCCTTCACCGGGCTGAGCCATGTCGTGCCTCATTCCTGCGCGTATCCAAGCTCTGCTTACTTCGAACCATTCCCATCACCACGCGCTGCGATCCGTCGGCCAGCGCCAGTGCCAGGTTTGCGCGATGGCGGATCGGCTGCAGTCAGGCATGCTGTTATGAGAAACATACATGTATAATGAGCTGGCGCGAAAGACATGATAGAAGCAAGACGCCAGCGATCGCTGCTGTTGTTGCTTTTCAGCACGGAACGGCTGGGTATGTGATATGCGTGACTGCGAGAGGCTCGCTGCACGTGTGTGTGTGTGTGTCAACACCTGGACATGGTGATCATTTTTTCAACAATTTTCGTCTGCAAGGAATCTGCTGCGTCATTTTGATTGCAGGGGGGCAAGGGCTCCAGCGACAAGCCTTGCCCAACGAAGCCAAGTCACTGGAGTGGATGCAGTGGCTGATCACCACTGTGTACCTGCCATTTGTGACATCGTGCATTTTTCTCGCGGTGCACTGCTTGAATAGTAGTGTGCTCCACGCAAGGTTGCCGCAATCTGAAGCCTGTTTTTTCCGTTGCCATTTGCAATTCCATGTGCCAAGCCAAAATGTGCGTGCGTGCGCGCGCGCGGGTGTGT